CTGAAGTGTTGATTTTATCAAAATTACCTTCTCGGTAAAAGGGGTAATTTTCCATTGGTAAAATGAAGGATGTTCTCAATACCAGTAATTGTCAAATTATTTGGATACAATGTTTATGTTTTAACAAGCTTAGTGAGTTTCAAGGCAGCCTGAGTGCCCTGCATGGTATGTCAGCATGCTAAATAGGAAGGCACCTCTCAGTGTTTTAATTATACATGGTCTTTTTGCTAATGAGGAGAATAAGACCTGAGTGTGTTTTGTCTTGCTGAAGGTGAAAAACATATCACATTTTCTCACACCAGAACACAAACCAAACGTTATTCAATTCTCTTTCCACTTCAAAACCCTTGTTATTTATTAGTGCCTACCAGAGCAAAAATGATGTCCAGTTAAAAAGAGCTCTGCATCATTCAGCAGGGACAGCTATCACCAAAAATATGATGAGTCTGGGTGCAATGCTAAATCTGGTACCACTGATACAGATGTCTATCCACAAATACAGACTTTGCTGATGGAGACACCGACCCTTGGAAAGTAATTTATGCTTAAGAAACAATACTCTGTACCTGATAATTGTACCAGATAAGCTTTGTTGCTGGAAAGATTGGCTGAGTCTTAGCAAAGAAGTGAAAGACAGATTACAGGGATGGCCAAAACCTCCAGAGCAGCAAGCAACAAGTGTTGCCTGATGATATTACTGGCATTCTCATTTTGAAAGAATCCAAACCAAAAAAGCACTAGAGGACACAGTTGCAAGAGAGCAAAACCAACCAGATTTGGACTGCAGTGAAACACTTGACACAAGGATGGAATGTCTTTCTGATAAATTAATGTAAATCAGGCTTGAAAGGAACACTCTCATTTCAAAGTTGGCTGAAAGACTGGAACAAAATGATAGGTGACAATATAGCAAAGTGGAGAGTGTTTGTATGATACGATGGCACAGGGATAAGTGTCAGGAAGTGTTCTATTTAACATCCTCATTAGTAATCCAGAAGAAGAAACAAGTAGAGTGTAATGAGATTTGATACTGGGGAGGATTAATTAGGACTGGTGAGAGATGCAAATTAATGCAAAGCAACAGGCACCAGGATCAAGGGTAGAGAACAACAAAAGGCACAAAGCACATGGGTGAAAAGCAAAGTTTAATAAAAAGAAACCTGAGGAAATTGTAGCCAGAAGAAACATCAATTCAGCAGGAGGAGACCTAGGAAATAGTGACATGGGAATCTTTTTCCCACAAGTTCACAGGAAAAAACAGGTAGTAAAAAAACACTAATTCCTCCACATAATATGGTCCATAAGTCCTCCATGCTATCATATTCTTTTTTCCCAGGTTGCTCTCTCTGCCAGACACCCTAGAATCCCTCTAACCGCAGTGGGTGCTGCACAGTATTAGCAAGAAGGTCATCAGAAAACTGTAGCTGTTCCCACATGTCCTTTTTTGGAAAATCTCTGGATAGAAGAAGAGACTCAGGCAACCCCACTAGGGGAGGGACCTGTCTGTTCAAAACTGCAGACCCTGTCCTTTCAAAGGACCAGCAAAGGAAGTGAGGATTATTCTGTGTCTGGACAGCAGTGGGATGTGGGTTTTTCTACCTGGCCTGAGCAGAAAGCAGAGCTGTGTCAAGGATGTTGCTGAGCAGCATCCTAGGAGCAGGAGCTCTGAAAGCTGGAAGCTCCCAGCAAAGCTTGTAGCCTTTCTGTTCACAACAGAAGAAAACAAGTCATTCACAGAATCACAGAATGTGTCAGGTTGAAAGGGACCACAGTGGGTCATCTTGTCCAATCTCCCTGCTCCAGTAGGGTCATCCCAGAGCACATGGCACAGGATTGTGTCCAGAGAGTTCTAAAATATCTACAGTGAGGGAGACTCTACATCCTCTCTGGGCAATCTGTTCAGTGCTCCTTCACCCTGACAGAAAACAAGTTCTTCCTCATGTTCAGGTTGAACTTCCTGTGCATCTGTTTCTGCCTGTTGCCTCTTGTTCTGTTGCTCAGCACTACCAAAAAGAGTCTGGTTCATCTTTTGACACCCTCCCTTTAGATACTTTTGTACGTTGATGAGGTCCTCTCTCAGTCATCTTTTCTTGAAGCTGAAGAGGCCCACCTCCCTCAGCCTTTCCTTGTAAGAGAGGTGCTCCAGTCCATTAATTATCTTTGTTGTCCTTTTCTGGGTCTGCTCCAGGAGCTCCATGTCTGTCCTGAGGAGCCCAGAACTGGACACAGCACTCCAGATGTGCCTCACCAGGGCTGAGTAGAGGAGTAGGATCCCCTCTCTGACCTGCTGGCAATGCTCTTCCTAATTCACCCCTGAATTCCACTGGCCTTCTTTGCCCCCAGGACACACTGCTGGCTCAGGGACAGCTTGTTGTCCACCAGGACATCCAAGTCCTTCTCCACAGACTTGCTTTCCAGAAGGTTGGCCCCCAGTCTGTCCTGGTGCCCAGAGTTATTCCTCCCCACACGCAGGACCCTGTTGAATTTCAGATCCTTGTTGAATTTCAGACAGTTTTCGACATCCTTGGTCAGATTTAATTCCAGTCATGCCTTGGCCTTCCTCGTCTCATTTCTACTCACTCTAACAACCTCTTTATATTCATTCCAAGTGGCCTGACCATGTTTCTGTCTCCTCCATATTTCCTGCTTATGCAGTAATGGCAAGAGGACCAAACACAAATGCCATAACCACAGGTGTGGTCTTTGCCACTCCAAATCGTAAGAGTAGCTGTTGGGTAACTGGACAGTGACAATGAGTGATGATCACTGGACTGGCTGGATCTATATGCACAGAGAAATCTCTGACAAACACTCCTTTGTTGTCTTACACCCATACCCCACCTTCATCCTTCTTCTTTCTTCATTCTCCAGTCTGCTCAGAGGAAGAACTGTCCCACACATCCCATCTACCATCTACCAGCTGTCTCATACAGCACAGCTTTATCTTGCTCAGGCTATGTTTATCGGGATAAAGCCAGAGTACTATCAAGCAGAGAAAAGCATATGTGGATTCATATATTACCTGAATCTAAAAATGTCATAAATAACATTTCAATCTGGCTGAGGGGCTTCCAAGCAACCTATTTGTCAGCAGCAGTAGTACTTAGGGTGTGCCAAGAATAACCCTGGATCGAAAGGCTTTTGAGCAGCAGTCACACAGGTGGCACAGCAAGCCATTAAACATGAGATGTATCTGAACATGACTCAGCCTTCCCTCCTCCAGGGTAAACAAAAGGTGATCTTACTCCTCCTATGTTACTTTTCCGGTGAGCTGAAGTGCTGATGTTCATCTAAAAAGAGATTTTCAAATATATTAATGGCAAAAGGCAATGTAGAAATAACATCAGCCCATTACACAATGAAGATGGTCACCTCACAAACAGGGACAGAGACAAGGCAGAGGTGTTTCATTCATTTGGACAACACTTTCAGGCATATGGTGTGACTCTTGGGGTGTCCTGTGCAGGGTCAAGAATTAGTCTTGATAATCCCTCCCAGCTCACTGTATTCTATGATTCTATGATCCTATGATCTTTCTCCTGGCCACTTGTGAGCTGGGAAAAAACTGAAAACCAGGAGATGTGCTGGAACAAGGGGGCTGTGGCACCCTACTCTCAAGCTGTCTACAAACAAGTGTGAAGCATTGTCACTGCAGGAAAACTAATGCTACCCAAAGGAGGAGTTAGTGATGCTTACCTCTGTAAGGTTTACACTGATTTATATGGAAATACACCCATGTGTATATTATGTGTAATTCTAGAGGATAATGACCACGACCTTCAGTCTGGGTAGTTCTGTTTCACATGTCACAGCTCTTGGCTGATTTACAGCTTTCTAGTCCTGAGGATGTCTTTTTTTTTTAAGGTTGGTTATGGTCTGAAGTCTGCTTTGGTACCTATGAGAGAACCAGTATATTCCCACATGATACAAGACCTGCAAGGCTTACAAACATTGTGCAGATCCTAGTGATGGTAATGAGAATTAAATGCATGAGACACTGTGTTTTGTCATTAATTTCACTGCAATAAAAATGCACAGGAATACAAAACACAATGTGTCTACTTAAATGTAAAAGAGGTAAGATATACGTGGATTGCTAGAATGTTTTGGTGAAAATGTATACCAGGAAAACAAGTGTTTTTTCTGATATAATTTATGTTGGAGAATTAATGAGCTACATTGACAGCATCACTGTTTCATTGACAATAAGTGCACCTGCACAAGCCATACCAGAAAACACTGCCGAGCAGCCATGAAATCTTAGCTGACTGTAGGTAGGGTGGAGATCAGCAGGGAGAAATTGCATTTTATTTGGGCATTTTGGCAGGACACTTTAGGCTGTGAAGAGTGAAATACCACCCTGTTTCTGCCAACACTGCAAGAATTACTCAGTGTTTCAAAGGTTATTTCAGCTTTCCCAGGTTAGGGGAAAAAACTTAGCTTTTGCTAAATTCTTGTACATTGTGTGATCACTTCCACAGGGGTAGTCTTTAAAGGAAACACGCCTTCAACCATTCACTGAGAGTTGAGGGCAAAGAGGATGCCTCCATGTAGCAAAAAGCTCATTCTTTTTACGTGTATAATTCCTATGAGGTTGTTAACTGGTTATTTCTGAGTGACAGCAGTACTGATGAATGAAATGGAAGAGCCTGAGCAGATCAGCTCTAACGTATCTGAGTGTGGACTCTCCGCTGGGTTTCCCGGAGAGGAATTCAGTCACGCGCTCCCCCTTTGGCAGGAGGAGAGAGTGACCAAGCCTCCACTCGGTGTTCCGTGGCGAAAAGACCTTTATTTCGAAACTCCCGCGGTTTATATGGGCTCGAGGGGAGGGCAAGAAGAAGGGCTGTGATTGGGTCAAGGTATGGGGGGAAGGGAGTGGCTTGAGAGCTCCACTGACCAATGGGAGATACAGGCGGACCGCGTTCCAGTAACAGAACCAGGGATTTGGGGAGAGGCGGGAGAGACAGACTATCCTGCTTGCGCAGGGGAGGAGGCCGCGGTCGGGGAGAGGAGACAACGTGGCTCCGAGTGGGGGGGGCTGCGCGGGCCGGGGGAAGAATACACAGCTCAGGGAGAGAACCCATACAATGCAAAACGCAAGTACTCGTTGTTTTTCTGCTTCACTCGATCCCGGAAGTCGCTGCTGCAACGGCCCCGCGTCTAAAGCTGCTGTTTCCAAGCCTCATAGTCCTGGTGTTCACCTACACAGCTCCACTAGTGCGACTCAGAAGAGGAGGCGATAATCGGGCCTTGCACGGAGGCAGGGTGATCTAGACATGAGGTGCAATGCTGCGTGCAGTGCAGTAAATCAGATCTCTTCCTCTTCTACTGTTAGTCACACACACACACACAGAAACTAACTGTATAACTCCACACACTGCAGATGCAAACAGAAGGCATTTGGAGCCTGGGCCTCAGCTTTGAGCTGACAGAAGGTGATGACACAGTTTAGTGCATAATTCCCTAATCACACTTGACAATCCACACAGGGATATTTTGTTACAGAGGTACAATGTGGACTGGGTTTTGAAAAGAATCTGATGCCATTGAAAGGTCCTCGGATGCCATTGAAAGGTGAAGGAAGCTGGGCCCCTCCTTCTCTTTTTCCTTCAAAAGTTTCATCAAAGGCAGACTCTTCCATCAATGCACCTTCACAAGAATGTGTGCACCTATCATGCTTCTGATAGGTTTGTGTAGGGTTTTTGAACAGTGCAACAAGCTGAGCTGACATAATTACCATTAGCTTTTCTGAGAAAAGTGAATTCTAAGCATCTCTAAAGGTAAGTGCATGTTTATGACTGTTACTAAAAATGGATAACAGTTTAGGCTCCCAGTTGGTATAAAATTACAGGGGTGAAGTCAAGGAACTGAGATCATTAACACAAACTGCAGAGCTGATGAACCTTGAATAGCTGGAAATGCAGGGCTTTGGATTTTATAATTAGAATTCTGATAGGAAAGAGAGACATGAGAGATCAAGAAAGCAATTAATTCTGTCACAAAGCAAACCATATCTGACTCATCATCATGAGCAGCAGAAAGATCTCTAAAATTTGTCCTTTGAAGCCAGGATACTGTAGCTGAGAAGTGCTTGAATAAAGAGAATGGAGAAGCACAAAATGCACTCTTTCTTGCCTGGGTCTGTTTCTAGTCTGTCATTTTTTTCTTTTCTCTTCCTTTTCTCTACCCCACAGAATAATACCCAACTCACATTACTTCTATTTATTTTCATTTCTCAGGTACATGAGGGCATTTGGAGTGAGCACGGAGGAGTTACTCAAAATTTATGACAAAGCACGTGTCTTCAGACTGTTCTTCAATCCCGATGCATCTGTAGAGCCCCATAATATGAAACTGAATTAATTATTATAATATACTAAGGTCTAACTTCTTATAATTGGAGACCTATTCCCTGAACTTCACTAGAAGAGTAAGGTTACACGGGCTTGAAATGTCTGATCATCTGATGTGTAGTAAGAACATGTAAGGTCTCCAAATGCGCGAGGCTTGCCTGGGGCTCTGCAAGTGTTGTTTCCCTGATAAAGAAGGTTTTGCACACACTCTAGGGAGGGAAGGTGATTCACCATACCAGGTTGAGACCCAGTACACTGCAGTGTAAGCAACTCATGAAACTCGGTGGCACACTGTATGCAGATCCAGGCATGACTCATGCACTTAATATAGAATTGCAAGTAGATATTTGCAATAACTGAGCAGAACTTTGACATCATATCTCCCTTTTCTGTGCAGAAGTACCACTCAGGAGCAATCCTTTGGTTTTCAGCCAAGTGCTCAGTCAGGTACTTCATCCCATACATATGCTTAAAGCAGGACAGGAGAGTGATTTAAGCAAGCAAATAATTCTAAGCACAAGTTTAAGGTTTTACATCACCTGCAGTACATGCTTAGATGACTTGCTAAAGTGAAGAATGCCTTTTGTTTTTTGAGTTGGTTTTCCTCCAGCCTGGGGCATCACAGGTGGTCTTTGCAGAGAACAATCTTGGACAGAAATGGGAGAGCCCTGTAAATTTTCTGTAGCCACCACTAGACTAGAGAGCCCCATTGTCTGAATGCATGGGGCTTCAGGAGTGCTCAGCACGGCTCAGCACCAGTCTGGGAGCAAGAGAGGGGAAGAGATGAGGACAACATTCTCACTCCCTAACTTTAGACACATAAATTCAGTGCCTGAATTAGGAGTGTGATTCCCAGCTGAGCAGTCATGTACGCTGGGAGACAGACAGGCTCCTCCATAGTGTGACTCAGAATAACCTTTGAATCCTATAGGTGCTCTGAAGGACCACAGCTATTAATTTTAAAGGTAACATAAATAAATATTCAGAGTACTATAATTATCCTTCCTTGAAGAGTTCCAAATTTGCTGCTCAAAGTCACAAAGGAATCTTTACTGTGGTGCTTTCGCTAGAGACCCCAGATCCTGCATTTACCGAGCCCCATACACACTTCCCTGTTGTGTTACAAAGCCATCATTACTTACCTGTCTAGACTGTTCTAAGCTCCCTACAGAGTTATGGCTATCTTTTGCATAATAAGAGTAGTGTTATTTTTCTATTAGTGCAACTGCAGAAACACAGAATTCTTTAGGAAAATGTACCCCAGCCGTTAAAGGGATTAGCAAATCAACAAATCTCCCTTCCTCCTCTATCCCTCTCCAAAACAACCTGCAGTACCAATACTACTGTGATAAAAAATCCAAGCTGAAATTTAGCTTTAACCTCTGTTCTAGCAAATTCGTGCTGCAGCTTCTTCCTTCTTGCTGCCAGAAGTTGCTATGTTCTACCATCAAAGAGACTTTACATGGAGTCATGTAAGCATGTATGTATATTTTTTCTATATAAAAGTGAAAGCAATGAATTACACTATCTTCACACAGTCTGATGCCTGAAACTACTGCTTAAGCAGTGTTTTTAATATCTAGAGGTATTTTCAGAAAAGTTTCATTCAAGTATGGTGCACCGCTTTGAGGTAGGGTGTAAGAAATACAGTGCAAAAGAGAAGAAACTCATAGCTACAGCTTCTTCCCACATCCTCGATTTTCAGTATATAACTCACAAACTGTGAATTATCATGAAGGCAGCTGAGCTCCCTGTTGAACTGTGGAACTGAACTTTGCTTTGCCTTCCCAGGTATTTGTGACGCTCTGCATCCCACCACCAACATTACGAAGTAGAGCAGTAATTTGCCAGGTCTGATGGAGCTGGCATATGGCTCTCCTCTTTGCCTAACATTTATAGATCTGTTTCACATGAGCACTTTGTGCATCAGCATATGCAAAGCTGCCTGCCCTCAGTTCTAAGCGAGTTTCCTTATCAGAATATATGGTACTGCATTATGCTGCATGTTTATGGTTTGAAACATTGACTTGATAATGTGGCTGTAGTCAAACAAAATGCTACATGTAACAGCAGCCAATTCATTTGTTTTAGGGAAAGAATACGACATCAGAAAGAAAGAGATGTATGCTTAGCTACATTTGATTGGAGGTAGTCAAATGGCTGAAATGATATAACCATTAAGATATATTTTCCTGATAAACACCCACTTTCACATATTATCTATTTATTTTTGTCTGGTATCTTAATGGAACTTGGAACATGTTAGACCTATCTTTTTTTCCAGTAGGCATTTACTGCTTTGCTGGAAGCAAAATTCCTGGTTCTTTCTGGTTACATTATCCTCACAAACTGCAGTAAGAGAAGAGAGATTTTTAATGAGTACTTGAGTAATTAAATAGAACAATATTTACAGAAATTATCTCTATTAGTGCCTAGTGGGGTTGGAGTTTGAACTTTTTCTGTCTGCAGTTAGAAATGTTAGCTAGCCAAGCAATTGATTCAGAGCAAAATACACATTTCTAGAGTTTTCTCTTTCTAAAACGCTGTTGTGAGTGGCATGTCTCCTTGGAGCACTGGAACTGGACTTCCTGAAAGGAAAGACTAGATCAAACAGAAAGGTTTTAGGCTCTGGTGGTACTCTGCATAAAAACAAAGGTGGTGTTGCATAAAAACAACTGGTTTTTTTCCCTGTAATTTTTCAGCTATGACTATTTTCCGAGCTGAACTAACTCAGAAGACAACTTTCCTTAGGTTTGTAGTGTTTGGAAAACTGCAGTGGCAGAGTCTCTCAGGGACAGCACAGCTCGTCCTGTTGCTCTGATGCTCACGGATTTAGGTGTCGCTGTCACCTCTACAGAGTGGTCTGTACAAAGTTACGGAAGAGCTCAAAAGAAATAACCAGATGTTTTCCCTTCCCATGATTGCGCTCTTTTAATAAACAGACTATGTTCTTTCCTAATTTCTGACACTAAGATAATGCAGTGATAAATACAATACTAGACCCAGTATTTTATTTGTAAGTTCCCCCTTTCTCTCTTCAAATAGCTTTCTATTTACTGAAAACACTTATGGTTGTTTTCAGAGTGAAGTGTCTTTGGGAGAGGTAAGAAAACTAAATTTACAAGCTTGGAGCTACAAGACAGGACTGACTAGAAACTCTGCTTGGGTAACTCAAAGCAGATGAAGCTAGAAAGTTTAAATACAGCATACTACTTCAAAACCCAGCCAAACTGAAAGAAAAAACATTGTTTAGTGTGGAAGGTAATTTGCTCTAATGTAGATTGAGATTTCTTTTTTTTAATGCTACTTCAGAAATCCATTTTCTATGTACAATTACTAAAAGTATTTCTGTTATAGAAATGTATCTTACTGAAAGCACAGAAAGTGTTGTAATTATCTTTAGGGCATTTGACAAAGCAGATATTGTAATTGAGCAGTGGTTACTTGAGACTCGAGAAGCAAATAAATCTGGGTATGGTCTGTAAGTCCCCAAGAAGTTAAAGCTTTAGAAAGCAGAGTCATTCATATCTGTTTGCTCAAACATGATGTCCTTCCAGGGTAACAGTGTGAGAAGGGGGTTCTGTGGGGTGACTGCATCTTCCTGATCATATCTGGGCATCAGTGTGGGTTGGAGCAGCACAGGGAACACTCCAAATTGTGTGTATGGCTACGCAGTGCCCACAGAGCTCACTCCTCATCATAGACCAGCAAACAGCTCCCCCAAAAAGCAGTTCCCCACAACTATTTCCAGTATACAAGGATGTGTATGGTCTTGTTTCTCTACTGACTTGAAATGTGAGTAGTTGTGAAAGGGAACAACACATATTTCAAGTGGTTCTGCTTTCATGCAAGGAAGTGGAAGACCTGTGTGTTTAATTTGACCTCCTGAGCCATTCTGCTGTACTATTTCATCATAGTGCTTCTGAATTACAGACAGTGCTGGTGTCATTGACGTCCACAGCAAATCTTACTTGGCTGCAGGTGTGAAAAGTAACCATGTGAGTGTTCCCAGTGAAGAAACCTCCTGAAAGTCTTAATCTTCTATACATTACACATTTTTTCCACCCAACCCCTGGTTATTTCCTTGAGCCATTGTCTTTCATTCTAAACTCTACTTCCCAGTCCTTTTAAGTCAATAACTTGACTTCATCTTACTTTTTCTTCACAAATTTTAAGACCACACACTGAGCTCTGCTAACACACTGTATTATGCTACTAGTAGACAAATTTTAACATCACATCACATACATGTTGCAGTTGCTGTTGTAACATGCCTTTTAAAAAATACCTTTATTGGATGAAATTGTCTCTTTCCCAAGAAAAAATCTGGTTCTTCAATATAATTTATTATGCCTTTTAAAATTCTGTCTGTTCAATAAAATCTTTACTATATTATAAATACCTGTAACGAAAATATAATTTAAAATTCTGAGAGAAAACTTTTTTTTACTTTCACATTTTTCACAAAACCCACAGAGGCACCAAGGAAAGACTAACAATAAAATTAATTTACTCCTGTACAAGCTGATCTGGGTTGGAAACATTCAACAGAGATTTTAAACTTGTCTTCTGGTGAAACTCTGGCTACAGCATAGGAACTGATCTTAAAACAAAGGAGCGTCTTTTGTTTCCCACCGTTTTAACCCGAAAATGTCTTTCAGGACTGATGGACTGTTGCTAGTACTTTCCTCACTGTAACATACCCGAATAAGGATTGGCTAAATTAGTTGTTATCTGAGAGAACCAGCCTCTGAGCTCCATGGCACAGGACTAAAAGTGGTCCTTACCTCACCACATCGTTATATTCTGAAAATTAAACATTAGTGAAAATAAGTGCTCTCCCTCTGTAATAGCAGCAATTAGAAATTTTCTTGTTTTGCTTGTTCATTATTTATGCATTGCCAGAAAGCTTTTGCATAAAGGACAGCAAAAGAAACCTTTCTTATTTGGACCACTGCAGGGATTTACCTTTAAATTACAGAATTTATTCTGAAGTTTGAAAAATCTCCATCCAAACTGAATTATGAGCAAAATGTTAAATTCCTGTCTTGGAGACACATCATTTTAGGGAATAGACAGTGAAGAAGAATCAAATAATTCTGGGGAGTCTGTAGAACACACTTAAACAGTAGACGAGAGAGGAAGAAAAGTAAAAAGCAGTCAGCACTTTTTTGGATTTTCTTTAGCACTGCGATGAGATAACTATCCCCTGGAAATCTTCATTTCCTTGTTCTAGATCCCCTACAGTTTCTGAGCATCTAACATGGCTTTCTTTTTTTTTTCTTTTTTTTCAGTTATGAAAAGAAAAATAATATGTCACTCTTGACTCTGTCTTTAAAGAAGTATCTGTGGAAAACTGCTTGTCTGGTAAAGTTAGGGAGCTAGTCACCCTAATTGCATTCTGACAACCACCTGCCTTATCCTCTTCCACTTTCTCCTTCTTTCTATTCCTCTCCCTCTCACTCCACATTCCATTCACACCCTTCACAAGGTATTTTTTTTAGTCTCACACCTCTCCCCGTCCATTTTGCCTTGACTTCCTAGATTTTTGGGAAGTGTTACAATCTACTACACATACTCTTTCTGATCCACCTTGGTCACAGTTCAAGGAAAGGACAAAGCGATCCCAGCTTTGCTGTTCTGAATACTGCAAGGTGTAGCTGTGTCAGAAGGCAGTTATGTTACTTCAGAAACCTAACTGATGACCCACAGGTAGAAGGTTGGTCCCCAAAACTCATATAATTGACACAAATATATCAGTACTCCCTCAAGTAATTCATAACAGGTGTAAAGAAAGCCAAGTGCTATCTATATAGGAGACTCTGTCCTCATTAACTACACACTGCCTAGAAATTCTAGGCTCATGATTCAGGCACTTCACTTAGGTATTTAAAAGTTAGGTGGAGAAAATGACATCCCATGGTCTGGGATGTCTCATTTGGGACTCTTTTATATTAGTGTATGTCTGTCTGTCTGTAGTCTAAATTGTGAATAACTTCATCAGTCTTCACTGATGCCCCAGTCCAACTCCAGCCTCCCAGATGTTCCTTTACAGGAGAACAGAAGGGCAAGGGAGCATTGTTGTTTGGAGGAGGAACAAAGCACCTATGACAGAAGCAGTACTGTCTGCAAGTATTAAATAGGAATAAATGACAAATATAACAGAGACTGCAATATTCATGACAAATCCACAGATAAGAATATATCCCCATAGCTTTGGCAGTTTGGTTCAAAACTGCTTGGTAATTCAGGTTTTGAATCCTACTGCATGCTTAAGTGAAGAGGGTGGAAGAATAAGTAATGTGAAAACTGTTTAAAATAGAGCACTAGGGTTTTCAGGGGAATAATATTGCATTTCATGCCTGAGGGGGCAGTTCTACTCTGATGGTAATGAAAAAAGGTTTTGAAAAAAGATATTACTAAAAAGTGTCAGTTTCCCACCTTATCCGCTCACACCTGTTTTTTCCCTTCCTTGATATTGGTACTAAATATGAAGCGATCAAAGCAGCAATCACAAGTAGAGCATACACAGACTTTGGAAAAAAAAACTACAGGTGGGGAAAATGAATATTTCCAACTCAGTGCCACACCCTGCAGTTTAGTTTCCTTCATTTATGATATCAACCAAGGCTTGCAGCAGTCTATCATCTCTATGCTTATAAGGTTTGGCATTGTAAAAAAGATCAACGTAGTCACTGTACAGACTTTCTTCTGAGCCTCTCAACTGGGAAGGCTTGTTCAATTTTTTGAGGGCTTGATAGAAGTGTTCATATGGAATATTTAACTTCTCACTTGCAGTCTTCTTTGGCAGTTGCTTCTGATTCATCTGTCTGCTAAAAGCACTTCGCAGTAAATGTAGCATAGCCTGTGATGGGATTTTATCTTCTGCTTTGTCACTGCTGCTACTGGTATCTTCTGTGATTTTGGGTTTTTCACTCAGGTTCTCCAGTGTGGTATGGTCCTAGAACACAGATTAGCATAAAAAAAGGTTAGGTGTTGATGGAAAATTGACCAGATTCAGGTTTGCTCTGGTTAGGGATCTCCATTTACATGTGAGCAGAAGCTATTTTTTCATTCAGTAATCACATGGCATCTAGAAAACAACCAGACCATTATCAACTAAAACAAACTACTGAAAGAATTGTATTGTATAAAGTATCAAGTCCCTCCACAAGATAGGTAGTTACAAATTCATATTCCCCATTGGCAGGATACAACATGTAATTTTATACCAAAATTTGTCCCAGTCTTTAGAGATATATCTGGGACACAACTCCTCAGCAGCCTAAATTAAGGAAATATACGTGGAGTGCTGAGAGCAGCTCTGACTGTGCCACATATCCTTGTGAAAAGGATTGAACCAGTGCTTCCATACAACCTTCTCTGTAGATGATCTCACTTGAGAAAAAGACAGTGAAGTACAGCTAATGCGTGGTCATGATACCTTGGAAACTTTGGAAGACCAATCTCAAATTCAGATGCACAGATGAGCTGGTGAGAGGCAGGATCTTTTTCAACAGGAGTATGTGCCTGTATAGCTTCCTAGTTTACCCTAAGATTGTCTTTCTAACCGAACACTCATTTTATCCTCATTTGTTCTCTACCATGTCCACCTATCTTCTCCTATAGTACTTTCTGGATCCACTTTGAGCAATTTTGAGCTGGCTTCCCACCAAGTCGCCAAACGCTCAGTGAAAGCCTTTCCCCCGCTTCCCCTTTAGGCAAAGTTTAAAAAACTATAGAAACTGAGAGAAACTGAAATCAACTGAATTATACCAAAAATATATATTTACATATATTTACAATTATATATATTATTTGAATATATATATAGTACACACAATAGGGAGCTCCCGAGGGGGAAAAAGGGAAAAGGGAGGGGGAAACAGGGATAAAAACTAAAACCAAATATCCTCCAAATATACCTATTAATAGAGAGCTAGCGGATAAGTACAAAAAAAAGCGGATTAAATACTTCCCTGAATGGGACAGCAGAACTGTGCAAGGCAGCAGCCAACTCCCCCACGCCTCCCGGAGAGACCAGAGATAACGGCAGGTCTGAGCAGCAGGCCCTGGCCCATACAAGCAAAGCCTGTCTGCAGAGAGACCTGTCACCTTCAGCCACCAGAAGAGAGAAGAGCGAAGGCCTCTTATCTGTGCCTTTTATATATTGTGTTACGGAAAGGGATGATATGGAATACTTCCTTAGATCTCTGACCCCGTTGCTAAGGAAGGCCTAAAAAATCCAAGAAACCAACCCACTACAACTTTTACTTTCTTGCAGTTTATTTTCTTGCCCATGGATGCCAGATCTGCTGACACTTATGTCATGTATTTAAAGACCATAATCATGTCTCCCTCAATCTTCTCTTTCATAACCTATCTGAGGAAGAGAGTTTAACCAACTTTATGGATATCCTAATTACCTAATGGGGAGACAATTTGATGTGATAGGACTAATAAAGAATTCGGAAGCTCTTGACAAAATTAAGCACTGTGAAAATGTACGATACTGCCATTCTGTGCATCCTGAAACCCATTGTCACTCTGCCTCTACGTTTACAGCACTCTGCCTAAAGGGTAAAGAAGGGGTGATCGAGAAGCAGGCAGCAACAGATCCACTGAACCAAACCACCTGAATGAGTCCCTGACTTTTGAATTTTGTTACAAACTTCCTTCCAAACTCCCTGGAAACAGGCAAAGCTGCTCTTGGATGCAACACTTGTTCACAGTAGAATTACATAAATTTAGTGTGTCTGCCAAAGGCGTCTTCCTCCCTCCTTTTACCACTCAACTGCACTAGCTACAGATTTCTCTACTTGAGTAGCAAAATCCTGTTACCATCCTAAACCCCTTATATTTTGGTATATGAAAACAGAGATTAATAAAAATATCAATTTTTAACATTGACAAAATTAAGATACACAACGCAAAAGTGGTCAAGGGTTAGATGAAATGAATAGAGAATGAATACGTCTTGCTAGGAAAAAATAACATTTTCTTATAAATTGAAAAATGCGTAAGGAAAAAAATTAATGTAATACTACCTCTACAAAGTCTGTCATCTTCTCCACTCCTCTTCTGTCATTTTGCACAGCATTATAGGATGTATATAAACGTGGCTGCTTCATGTGTTCAGGCTGGGTAGCAGTGCCATGCAAAATCAGCTTCCAATTTACAATCCTTCCTTCATTTTGTATTCGTCTGGACTGAAAAACAAGCATGGCATTAGAATAGGTTCTCAGGACATAAGAAGATAAAACAAGACACTTGATTTTAAAGTAGACAGAAATTACTAAAGCAAACTCTAAAGCTTTCAATATCTAAATCTGGACAATGATTCATAGGCACAAAAACAAGGATATATTAGAGACTATATATCAGAAAGTGGGATTTAATACAATGGCTTAACCACTCCACATATTCACGTTTTGATGTAACATACCACATATTCATATTTTGATGTAACATAATTATTAATTAATCATGTAAGCATCAATGGAATTTTGACGTAACACACAATGCTAAAAATTACTTAACTGGTATCTTGCATTATTAAAATTTGCTCACTAAGACATTCCTTGGCAATTTCCTTATTAAAGTTACCACTGGAAATGGTAATGTGAAATAACATTCTCCAGTGGTGTGCAACAGCAATCTGAAACACAGTGTGTGGAAGTGAGCAACAAATGCTTATACACAAATTTTGGTAGCAGTACTTCAAAAGTAGAAAGTGGAAGGGACAAGTACACAGAACACTTAAACTTTATTTGACCAAAGCTTCTTTCAGAATTTTTGCTCATTCATTTTGTAACTGAAGATGGCTGCTGAAGCTCTTATTTTCTAAGAGAAGTCTAGACTAAAGTTTACCTACACAACTTACATGACAGTTAAAGCTACTCATAACTACAACTTATGAATAACTCTGCATGGGAATCTGTGATGACAGTAAAGTCATTGATATGAAAGCTTTTTCAGGAATCACAAAATCCTAAAAGTTGAGCAAAGAGTTTACTATGTGTTGAGGACAAAAATCCTAGTTTATTATAAGTTTCAGGAAGCTCTCATTTGAAAAGAAAAATGAGAAATATTTACAAATAAAATGCTCTTCTTAACATTTTTCCCCAAAAAATGCGTTCAAAGAATAGGATATCTGTAACCATGGGGTTATCTATAACCCTGCAGCATTAACACTACACTATTGATAATAATATTACTTCTACTGCCTTGTCCATCTGCTCAGCAATTGGCAATAGCCTCCTGTTTACAATTTGAGGCCAATAGGGGCTGCAGGCTCAGAGTCTAACAGGAAGCATTCAGTTTCTGCTAAGATCCAACCTCTAATGACAAGCTTATGGACAGACAACCTCAGTGAGATGAATGTGTTTGATTACTCTCTCTTTGAAGGAAATGATTTTTCAGTTGCCTACCAAGCAGCTTTATTCTGGTGTCTCGCTGTTGTAATCCATATCCCCAGGTGGTTTTAATAAACTGATTTATTTCATATCTGTAGATTTCTTGGCTTTAACCCTTAAACCATTAAACTATTAATTAAACCCTTAAACCTTAATTAATTAATTAATTAATTAATTAATTAAACCCTTAAACCTTAAACTATTGTTCAGCAGTAGTCACTCTCAGAAAGAAATCAGGGAAAGGTATGCATCAGAACAGCTCACTGAGATCATCAGAAATTGAATAATTCAAAAGGTTCTGAGTTAATGAAAACTGTGCTTGTGGATCAAGAGAAGACTAGATCCATGCCATGTTCTTTTCTGCAGAAAAAAATTTGCAGTTAACTACATGTTAATTTGATTGTGTATTTCACTCCATGAATCACAGAAAACTATATTAAGTGATTTCTTCCAGTGACGTATGTCTGAGAAAAACAGACATGAAATTGTTTTTGACAGGTACGTGTCAATGTCAATTACATTTGAGTAAAGAACAAGAAAATGTGACTCTATTTTTTTACTTTAATCCTTACAGATATTTTAAAGAAACTCTCATTAAGATCAGTTAATGAGAAGGCTCATAATTCAACATGCTTTGCAGCGGTTAGTGATGATTTTATTTGTGTTAGCTTCCAAACATAGCTAACTAACACACAGACACACTTACCATATCAGTAATTCTTAAAACCCAGGTTCCTGTTGGGTTTTCTCCCCATGTATGAACAGACATGAAGTCCCAGTTCTTGAAGCCATTGGGAGATTTATCTCTCTCTCTCTCAGCCAGTAAGACAGTGCTGGTCCCTGTGTGAGTGCAAGATCAACAGCAGGGTTGTTCATACATGTCTGCTTTTACTTTTCAAATTGTTCAACTTGCACTCTACCTAGTGCATAGGTAACCTGGAAAATGCACTATTTAACAGTGGTTCCCTTAACAGTGGTTCCTTTAATTATTTTCACTGCAGTATTTAAGAGCATGCAAACTACTAGGTCACACTAAAAAGGCACATCTTGATCAGTGTTTTATCTCTAACACAAAAAAAGCAGTGAATGCACATAAAGAAGCAGAAATCAGACACAATTGGTGTTTTCCACTGATGAACAGTTCAATAAACTTTTGAAATGGAAGTTTTGAAGGCAAACCAGCTCCTGTAGTATTGTGAAACCACAGCCTTATCCTGATTCCCTCACTGTATTTTTTTTTTGTTGAGGATGTAAATTGTTACAGCCTGAAATGTTCCTCCAACAGGGTGAAATAGTTATTATTACAAGTAATGCTGCAGTTCACAAAGTATTTCTGCAGAAAAAAAGAGATTATACTGCATGGTGGGAAATTCGTTGGGCTTAGTTTGCTTCTAAGGAGAAAGCAAGGGAGCTCTATTTACATAATAAGGAGCAGAGAAGCCCCAAGGAGCCTTGTCATAATTTAGAAATATATTTAAACCTAACACCATAAATACAGAAAAGGAATGACATAAATTTGCTAGTAATGTTTTGCAGGAAAGTGGAAAACCAGCAAGAAACAAGGAAAAAACAGCTTAGCCGTGAAAGCAAAATGATGCTAAAGTAGAGGCAGCAGTATTTGCTTATTGCTACCTAGAAACAGAAAAATTAGATCAGTCTGATGTTTAAATTCACATCTGAAATCTTGTCTTTTTTTTTCCTAATAATACCAGTTAATCTAACAGACTTTACTGTCTACAAAGTTGTTTATACTAATTCTTTTTTTTTTTTTCTCCTTATGGTGTTATTTCAGGGTATTGTCAGGACAGCTTGCCATAGTCTAGCTCATTTAGCATATTTGTACTAAGGTGCCTAACAGAGGCACTATGTTTCTAAATACACAAATGTGGAGATGCAGTTACATGAAATCTAAGGAGTTATATTTTCTCAGTTTTCTATTAGTCTACTAAATCACAGGAAGTCTGATAAGGATTATTGAACCATAATTTGTTGTCTGCCAGGAACCCTCAGTTTTCACAGGTCCTGTTGCCAGAATGAAAACGTACCATGCCTTTATTTTCTAAAGTAGGATTTTCAAATGGGTGAAGGCTGAAGAGCGGTTTCTGTGGTTCCCAGAATGTGTTATCCTCACACTCCCCTCACTGGATTTGTCCAGTGATATATATAGCTCTTTTTAAAACCACCGAAGAACATAGAGGTGTTTTTTTAATTGAATAAATGCTACACATTAGAGCAACACAAACAAGGTGTGTCTTTGCCTCCTGTACCTGATGGAGATACCAGTGTGACATGAAGATCACCTCTACGGGAATACTCGATCGTTGCCTCAAGCTGCACATGCTCCAGAGATACAATGGAGTTCTCTTGGCCCTCACAGGCTTTTGTGGGAATTTCAATGATGACTTCTTCATTTGCTCTTAATAATCTGGCAAAAGTTACAGCAGTTCTTTGATTATTCAGAGGAACCTTTGATTCTGGATTGTGATGTGAGGTGTAAATGACAGATTTAAAATTTCAGAATGTTGAGGAAGAAAGAAGTAAAGACAAATTCTACATTTGATATTCTTTCAAATGCTTCTGTGAAAACCATGGGAAGTTTTGGAAGCACAGATAGTATTGAAGTGGATTGCAAAAAAAATCAGTCTTTGCAGGCAGCTACATCGCACAGCTGCATCAGACTTAGACTTTGTTGCCTTATTCAAATTTCCAGAAGAACTGTTAGCATAGAGCTAAAATATGACAGCAGCAACCTGTCCTGGTCCTTTGCAATCAGTGCCACCTCAAGGAAAAAAAAGCTAACATCTTCTGTTCATGCTCTGCACAGACAGCTTCTCTGCACAATTCCCATTACTTCCAAAGAGAACGGATATCTAAGCCTCCACATAAATAATTCTGAACTCAGAATCATGGGATTTTTGTTTATAATGTAACACACAGGACTGCCATAAAAATACATAAGCAGCAAGTATTACATACATCAGTACTGTGTCAACATCCTGTGGAAAAGAGAGACCTCATAAAAGCAAATTGATAATAAAATAAATAATAAGGCTACCAAGCAGTGACTCTCCAAAACACTGTAATATGTTTCTGCAAACAGACTTTTGGTGCATTGACACGATATCATTTCAGCCTTTGAAACAGATAATTTTTTTTAGACAACAAATACATAAATGAACAAGTGGAGACAAAACCAGCCCATATATCCTTATTGATTAACCAACTCAGTGACTAATTATAATTTATGTGCATGTTCAGCTCAGTTTAGGCTCACTATGCTGTGAGCACATGTGAATGTGGCTGGTAAGACTTTTCAGTGAGACTTTGGGACACTTGTTTTTCATAAGAGAAATGCTACATATATGAGTGAAGCTGAATCTATCACCTTGATTTCAACATATCCCATGCCTGTCAAAGGAGAAGAATTGCTAAGACCCATTACAGATATTTTTTTTTTAAATCCCTAGGAGACTTCACTATCTTTTTGTCTATCTTCTGATAGTGTCTAAACATTCACACTTTAGCTGACTGGGTTCTGCCTTAAAGAATCCTTCACTCTAGTAATTTCCATCAGTCTTACACTAAAAAAACAAGAAGCAAATGCTCCTTGCCTACCCTCTGAGGAATACAGTAAGGCAAAACTAAGTGAACTAAAAGAAATCCCTTAGCCTGGTTGAGGGCAATCTATGAAGAATATGATCCTTCAGGCTTTACTAAGATAGACATAAGCTTGGTAACTGCTAATGCAAATTCTTACCTTGGTTCAAAGCTCTGGTCTCTGACAATACACTCTCTCTTTTCTGGTACACCTTTCCATCTTTTGGGATCAGCTAAATCTACCAATGCGTTGGCATTCAGTAGTCCAAACCCAAATCGACTGTTGACCATCAGTCCCGCTCCATTCTTTTTCCATCCTGGGTTTCCAGACAGTGGATCATATTCCGAGGTCCACACTACCAAGTGTTGCATATCCCTCCACGTTAGGTCTGGGCTGTTGAGAAAATGATCCTGGTTAGTTGTTTTAGGGCACTTTTCTCTCAATTATTAGTCTGCCATAGAACATGGTTTGCAGGTATATGGCATCCCATTATTTTCAAATACACAGCATGTCACACGCTTATCCTCACAATACTTCTCCAAGTAGACAAGAAAAACAGGTATCTAGCAAGATTATAGTCCAATCCTTCAAAATTGTCCTGGCATTTAAGGTTAGCTACCAATACTAGTATTCCCCACCAGTCTTTATAGAACCTGGACTTTGACATTTTACTGGGTATTTGATTCTGTGATTAATTCCACCCTTTAAAACATCTGAGTGTCTTGGCTTATGTCACCAAAGGGGTATGCAATAGAAAATGGAACCAAATCTACACCATCCAAGTACTAAGCCTGTGAATTTCTACCTAAAGTATTTTCTGTGGAAAAGCCACTGTCCTACCCCTTCTTACCTTCCCCACGTTCTACATTCCACCTGCCCTACAGGATCCAAACCTGGCTGCTCCCTGTCTGCTCTGACAAACAAGCTTGGGCACCTTCCATTTTATGCCTCATCATTGGCAGAAAATCTTCTGCAAATTGAATGAAGACCTAATTTAAAATCTTGCAACCTATTGTCTTCAAATTATGTTCTCCTGATCCATGTGCAGCTTCATTTTAAGTGCATTTGACCCGAAATCAGTAAACACTGTTGCCAATACACAAAATGGACTAATATTCCTCAGTCATTCAATTCCTCAGGCTTCAATTCCATTGATTCTGCTTTTCTAGGAAGGTGTTGAAGCAAGTAGCTGCTTGTTTTTGTCATCAGGTTGAGCAAGTCTGACTGATAAAAGTGGAGCTATAGCATGAGGTGGTGCCACTTCAAACAGACAATATTTCAGGGAAGATGGTGGGGTGGCTGAGGGACAGGGGTTTCAAAAGGTAGTGGTGTGTCATCTTACTTTGCTTCCAGTGCTAGAGCAAAAATCCCTGCAGCCAGAGGTGCAGATGCAGAGGTCCCAGTGTGAGTTTCTGTACATTCATTGTGAAGATCAACACTTGTCTGATAGAAAAAAAAAACAAACCAAACCAAAAAATTCCCAGATTATGTGAATAAACAATTGCAAGTACAGTCATATCCACACTCACAAACATAACTATGTATCCTTTACTTGGTGCGTATTAATATACACCTCACCAGAAGAAAAAGTGATGGATGTTTAAATCTGTTCATATTTCAATCCACTCGTTTTACTTCAACTATAATTTTTGTATCAAAATGCTTTGTGTTGGAACAAAATACTCCCACGCTGAATATCTTATTTTATTGTAAGAATTTCACAATAAGTGTTTCAGGCTTACTGGTGAATCATAAAAACAGATCATTGTGTTGGGCCTAGAACATTTAAAATTACTGCTTGCTAGAAAATTACTCATAGGGTTAGTACTGGTGTTCTGCTCCCTCTTCAGCAGAAGAACTATAATTTGCAATGAAATATGTGCTTTATTTGGAAATTAAATACCAAATTCATCATCCTATGTATCTACATCTCAGCTATAAAGAGAAGCCACTTAAGAAAGACTAATCTCCTGGCTAACTTAGAATGACATTATTTTATCACAGCAATTTTCTTCAGCACAAGAAAGGCACACAGACTGATACGTTTGCTTGCCGAATACCTTTTATAGGTTTGGAAGTAATTATTGCTGCTGTTGCTCTTACACAAGGTGTATCAGAGACCCCTACATCACAGGTTCTTTTTCCTTTTATTCTAAATCTTTTTTCATTTGCCCTTTCTGAAGAATGGTACCATATCAAACCATGCAAAGGCCTCTCTCATACACAAACAACATTCACAAATAGCAGACAAATTCAGCATGTTGACTTAACTGCATTGACACAACAATTTTCTCTAATCATTGCTTTATAGTAGATGTTTCAGGGATATGATCACACTTTGGATTACAAATCCCTCAAAGTTTCAAGGCAAAAGCACTAAGCACGTCACACATTACACAAAGCAGGCACTTGAAGCCAAGCATTTAAGAGGTTTCATTTGTTATTTGCATATGCAATACATTTCTGTTTGTTCTGAAACTGGTAAAAACAACCTACAATTCTTTGGTCAGTATAATCCCCACTGCTGTATGCTGTGGCCAGAGTTGAAGAGCACTTCTCTGCATACCAGGGAGAAAGCCCTTGCTGAGAAGCACTGCTAATGGAGATTGTGTAGATACTATCAGTGTAACCATCACAGTCACAGTTGTCACCCTGGCGACCTCCATTCCCTGAAGCCCACACGAAAATGGAGCCTTTCCCATTTCGGCCCTAGGGAAAACAGAAATGACTAGTTATCAAAAAGATTTCAGACCCTGAGTGGTTATCCCAGAAAACCTAATACACCAAACATTCTCAGATAGAAAAGGACAAATTTCCATAAGCACTGTAGAAGACGGAGACAGAAGAAATCAGCTGTTTGACACATCCTACTTATCACCCTGCAGCACATCTCTTAGTTCAACTGGCCAAGGTTTAGTGTTCCAGGTGTAGCAACTTTCCTTAGAAGAGGTTTTTAGGTGAAAAAGAGCCTGTGTTCAACGGGTAAATCTTCCCTCATGCTGATGTTTTGATCCTGACCATTTCTAGGAAAAATGCCCATTTATTTTTAAGACATAGCAAGTTCATCAGAGGTTACTTCATTTGCCTTTCCTGTAATCACAGAGGTACAGGTTAGCAGCACAAATGATGTCCACACTGAAACCGCCCCTTCCCTCACAGATCTGTCATTCAGCATCACCAGTCTCCAGACACAACCACACTCATTCCCTGCTCTGGTGTCCACAGTGCAATGAGAGAGCAGCAGCCAACACTCGATGCTGGCAGCTGACAGCATGTAAACCACCACAGCTATTACCCTAAGCACAAATCACCCTATCCAATCTTAAACTGTGCTAGGCCTCCAGAGGAAAAAAATCTGTTTCATGTGACGAGCAAAAGTTCATATGTTGTTCATTATTAATATATGTTCATTATTACTATATGTACATTCACTAGAAAAAATAGTTGAAATACAGATTTTTATCATCCAACTCAGGTGAGATTTTAAGCTATTCATGCAAATGCTAGGAAATTCGCAGCACTTAAAACATTAAAAGCATGATACTTTTAAAGATATTGTAACTGCTGTCTTGGGATGGACAAGCCGTGTTAACTACTGAAAATGATATAGTACCTTTGAGAATAAAGGCTGCACTTTGGAAAAGCACTGGTGTATCTAAACACCTGGTCTGACTTCACTTAGAGTGATACTAACACCTGTTAGATGCTTAAGGCTAAGTCTGTGCTCAGGTGCTTTACCAGCACAGCAATGAAGGATCCAGGGACTAGAGTTGTTGCCAGTCCCTACTTGACTAACTTTAAGCAGAAAGGAGACAAGCCAGAGCCTTGCAAAAGGAAGTCTGACAAACAAATGAGTAAGTTTGCTCTCCATGGGAAATAGAACAAACTGTAAAAAAGGATACATTCTTCACCAAAGAACCTGCTTCTCCAGAGTAAGACCACTGAACAATTGTTGCCAATTATCACCTCTCTCTTCTCTGGCTGCCAACTTTATAGGCTTAGATCTTTGTTTGTTACCAGACCACTCTCCCTGGTTTCCATTCTTCTCTCAGAGTATCTTTGTCAGCTGTCAGACTCTTCATTCTTCTCTCCTTCTCCCCTTCTGTTTGCTAATGTTAACTGCCCTTTATCCAAAATTCTCTCTTTGCCTCTGTCCTTCAAGCTTTCCTCCATTTCTCTCTTCTCCCACCTCTGATTTAGTCTTCCTCTCTATATTAGTACCTTTAGGTATCTTTTCACCTCACTGGCAAGAGCAAGAGTAGTTTATTAATAAATACCTGGCAGCTCTCAGTTTGCACCCTATTTATCATTCAACCAGATCTAAAGAGTGTAACATAAAAAAAAAAAGTGTAAAAACATTGCTTCCAATACTCTTCATCATGTATTTTTACTATATTCATTTTAACTGGATCATGATACAAACCAATTTATAAATTAATGCAATTAACACAATACAAGCTCGTCCACAGCGTGCTAAAGTGCATCACTATTTCACATAACAGAATATTCACAAAGCAGAATCTTTTTATTAAATTTTATAGGCTTTCAGTGTAGAAATCCAATTACTGTTCAGTGCAAAACAAGTAGTAGAAAAGGGTGGGGGTAGGGTGAGACAAAGGCAGCAAAAGGAAGGATGGAGAAAGAAAGCTTATCTGTGGAGATTTGCAGTCTAAAATCACCTTAGAAAGCCCTAAAAGTTCT